GGATACCGCAAAATTGCAGCGCGTTGGGTACCCCATACAATAACCGAGGTGCAACAATGGCAACGTTATGCAATTGCACAAGACTTGTTGGACTGGCACCAGAGGGAAGGTGACGACTTCCTTGGAAGGATCGTCACTCTGGACGAAACTTCGGCTCGCACTTGAAGCGACAATAAAATGAATGCAAGCATCTTGGCTCTCCTCGTCCAAAGAAAGTGCATCCCACACAGAATAATGTGAAGGCGATGTTCATTGTGGCATATGATACTGATGGAGTGATACTGCACCACACTGTACCTCAACGACAGACAGTAAAGGTTGCCTACTACTGCAATTTCTTGTGTAATCATCTTCGTCCAGCACTCAGGAGAAGGCGCCGACACTTGTTGGCAACGAACCCCACCATCCTTCATGACAATGCAAGGGCTCATACTGCTGAAACTGTCAAGGATCTCCTTCGCCGATGGCGATGGGAGATACTGCAACATCCGCCATACTCTTCCGAGCGATTATGATCTGTTTAACAAAATGAAAGAACCATTGCGAGGGACACGTTACAACACAAGAGAGGAGATTATTCGTGCTGTAGGGCGGTCACTGTTGGACATCAACAGAAGTGGACGCGCCGATGGTGTACGACGCGTTCCACAAATTTGGCAGAAGGTGGTACACATGGGGGGCGTTTATATTGAAGGAATGTAAGTGTGTTTACCTCAGGTAATAAAGTTATTTCAGAACTATACAGGTGTTGCCACAAATTCTTATCCGGCCTTTGTATTTTCGACGACGATTCCTCAGTTAATTTTTAGTATACTGATAATTACGTTGGTAGTGTCTGTTTTTGGTGTGTTAGTGTACATGTTTTCTATGTCAAAGGAACATGTTCTCGCATCTTCGTTAATTTTTGTGGTTTGTACGTCTGTAATTAAGTGAATCTCTCTCTCTTTCCTGTTGCTCTCACTTGGAGCATAGGGCATCCGTGAAACGCATTGTTTCACTTAAGGCTCTTAATCTATACACAGTCGGTAGAACTCTTAGATGGGGGATCAGCCCGACGCAAGGCCGCTACATACAGAAACACAGAATAAACGCAGACATACACCCATACCTTGAGTGGGAATCGAACCCAGGATCCCAGTGATCGAGCGGACGAAGACGGTTCATGCCTTTAGACCGCGCGGCCACTGTGATCGGCAATTCGGTGGAGTTCCGTATATCACAGTGACCGCGTGTTTACGGCATGAACTGTTTTCGCTCGCTCGAACGTTGAGATCATGAGTTCCAATCCCACTTGAGGCATGGATGTCTGTGTGTGTTTATTTTGTGTTTGTGTTGTTGTGTGTGTAGGTGGCGACCTTGCGACGGTCTGATCCCTCGTCCAAGAGCTCTACCGACTGTGTATAGATTAAGAAACCGAAAAAGCGGCCAAGGTCCACAAGGGTTGTAGAGCCATAAATAGATAGCTCCACATATTGTATGTATACGGTAGGTGTAGAGAGTTAAATAACGTTTCTTCATTTCTGATGCGGGTGCTTTCTTCCAGTCGATTTGTATTTTTATTTTGGCGTGGGGATTTGGGGGTGCTGGTTTCATGTTTTTATATCTCCATACGGTTTCCTCTTGTATGATGTTATTACATTGTTTTAGTGTATGCTTTGTTTTTTGTTCTAAACTGCAGGCTTTATTATGAAAACTCATATTTTTAAAAATAGCTTTGGAAATAATGTGTTTCCCGAAATGTGAACCTTTCTAAAATCTTATAAAATGGCCATTTTACCCCGGACCCTGGATAGAAGGGCTCCCTATATGTTCCATTAAAGAGATGGAGCACAGTTAAGTTAGGAAGATAAGGAAATGCAGGCATCTAAGTTTTATCAATTTATTTATCATTATAATTTGTATAATATTGTAACGTGTTCAGAATCCAGGAGTCACTTCCATAGTAACGCTAGAACTGGCCGTTGCATAGGAAGCGACAATAGCGATACTGTAACCCCAACAGTGAGCCGTTGCGTAGGAATAGCAGAATCAACGAAGCAGCGTTTCCCCAGCGGTAGACAACAGAAGGCATTGTATAGCAACGGACGAGTTATAAAAGCCCAGCTTCGACAAGAGACAGTCAGATGACTAAGACAGACAGACTGACGGACTGTCAGTCGCAATGTGACTTGGACTTGGGAGACAGTCAGGCTTTGGATAGGTGCCGAAGGATACAGGAGACGACTCTCGCGATAGATAAAGAAAACAGTCTGGAATTAGTCGCAGAATAAGATAGTCAGGCATTAACCGCCGAGGAAGAGAGTCTTCAGGAAGCTGCCACTGAAGATAGCTGGAGCTACAGAAGTATTGGCCGAGATATTGTGTAAGCGGTCCTAGTAGTAAAGCGTGTGATTGTGTAAGTGTGGAGAACAATAAAGGTTCTACTGAATTTGAGACCTACGTGGATTTATTTGTTGCGTGACACACAAAACACGTAACAATATGTTATGGACGAAATTATGAAAAATATTATGTTTTACTTAAAAAGGCATAGAAATACAATTGTCACGAAAAGAAGCTTGCGTACCAAATAGACGTTCACGCTTTGTGTGATCACAGAACACACTAACGCACATGGAGTAGACTTATAGCTCGCATCTCTGGTGAAGCAATAACGGGAAATTTCCGTTTTAAACGCACAGTGTCCCTTACTAAGAAATGATTAAGACTCTAACCATGCTTCTAATTCAAAATTTCACATATGGTCTTTACAATACGTAAAGAAAAATGAAGTTCCTCTCTCTAATTAATGAAAACGTATGGGGAAGTGGAGGTGTTGTTCCAGTAATTCTTAACCTCAACATTAGATAAAAATAAGCGGAGAGCTTCTTGTTATATTACAGTTTTGCAACTTTGCCTTGAATTACATTTCTCGTCCTGCGGGATAACGATACGATACTGGCTACTTTTAATGGCCATTAATTCCGCGTCTACTTTACCTACTAAGCAACAGAGGGCTCATAAACACAGATGAGTTATATTTCCATTAACATACCTATTAATGCTGGCCGTGAGCGGAATTTAGCATATCCATACAGCATTCCGAGCTACGTCAAACATCCACGTGAGCGCTGAAAATTCAAACCGTCGCTTTGCCACCGAAGAAAGATCCCCAGGTACACATCTGTAAAAAGACTGGGCGGATCCCAGAGCTGGTCTAGAAGTGGTCGCGAGGAGAAAAATCCTTGCCGGGAATCGGGCCCCAGTAGACTAGCCCATAGTCAGTCACTTTTTTTTAATGTTAGTGGGGTGGGACTAAGTCCCTTGTACTGCGGCCACTTCTGGCCTATTGTACCAGCCCCAGATGATAGGTGAGGGTGATTGTGGAGCAGTTGGTGGAATGAAGATTGGTAGGGGAAACTGAATAACTCTGAGAAAACCTGCCCCAGCGCCACTTTGTCCACCACAAATCCCACTTGACCAGACCCGGGATCAAACCCTGGCCACCGCGGTGGGAAGCCAGCGACTAACCGCTTGAGCTGTGGTGCGGCCCTAGCCAGTCACTTTACTGAGTTATCCCGGTCGTCCAGCCAGTAACAGGTCACAGTACTGACAGATATATGCCTTGTCATCCATTGTATTCGAACCCGAATTTTTCAGTCAGCAGCTACTGGGCCTCTAGACTGAGGGTGTTTGTGAGCAGGGTGTTGAGGAGCATATTTGGACAGCAGAGAGATGACGTGACAGGTGGTTGCAGAAAACTGCATAACTTGTACGCTTCTCCAAGTATAATTAGAATGATGAAGTCAAGGAGGATGAGATGGGCAGGGCAAGTAGCAAGAATGGGAGAGAGGAGAAATGCATATAGGGTAGTGGTGGGAAAGCCGGAAGGAAGGAGACCACTGGGAAGACCAAGGCGTAGGTGGGTGGACAATATTAAATTGGATCTCAGAGAGATATGATGGGATGGTATGGATTCGATTGAGCTGGTTCAGGATAGGGACCGCTGGAGGTCTCTTGTGAACATGTGAACCTTCTTACTTACTTACTCATGGAGCTGAACACTTCTGGTTCCATAAAATGTTGGGAAATTTTTGAGTAGCCGCACAGTTGGCAGCTTCTCAAGAAGGGCTCACTTCCATGAGTTAGCGAGTTACTAGGCCTACTCTCATTGGGCTATCCCCGTTCAACTCCTGTAACCTAACCCTGTTTGCCCTGCCGGTAGCAAGGAGGCATATTGCCAGGTGCCTCGCTCGCCTCACTTCTAACAAGAGAATCCTGGTCGTTCAGCCAGTAACCCATCACCGAGCTACCCGGAGCACCTGTTATGAGTGAATCCCTGCAGTTCGGCCAGTACTGTGTCACTATGTTGACTGAGCTACTCGGGCTCATCTGTTATACATGAACCTCAGTCGTCCAGCCCTTAGCCAGTCACTATACTACTTGAGCTACTCGGCACACCTCTTATCATAACCGTATCCTGGCCCATACAGGAGTAGAAATTCCTTACAAAACGCCGAAGTTTTAGTTAGCATTCTGTACTTGCCTCTTATCAACTGCAAAAAAATAAATTCCAACATAGATTTCGTATTGCGTCCCTTTGTGACAACTCTTCATTTACTGGCATTCGATTGCACCTTTTGGAATAGCATCCTTCTTCGTCAGTGGCATCATCACCTCATTATCAACCGAGAGCTTTTTTTTTTTTTTTTTCAAGAGTTACTGCGCGCGAGACATGCCAGCTAAAAAAATGCATTTAAGGCAGCGAGATTTATACATGTCAGCGCATTCTCACGGTTGGTTCGTCAACTGCATCATGGAGTTGACTGCGTCTTAGAAGTAGAAACACGCGGATCTTCTGCCATCTCTTTGCAGATACGTTGAACTAAGGTTGTCAGAACCAATCACAATGTAGCTATTGCAATATATCAAGTTGCATTTGTGTAAACAAATCATAATTCATCAATCGTAATGTATCGAATCGCATTGTGTGAACCAATCACCGTGTTTCCTTGGTGGGTTGGGTGGTAGTATTCTGTAAGATAACTTATTTTTGCACAGAAAGGGAAACATTTGGTCTAGCCAAAGTATGTTACTGACCTTGGCGTGCATTTGTGCGTGTGGGGTTAAGGTTTCTCAGTGCGAATGGCTTTGGATATGGCAATGTGCACAAACCCTGGATAGGGGAGCAAAACAGCCAGTAATGATGTGATTTGTTTGAATGTGGATTAAGGCTTGTAAGACAATATAATGCTTATTTTAAGGTTCAAATTTGACATTCATGTATGTTAACTGTAAAAGAAATGTAAAACTCTTGTAGGGTTGCTGGTTCTGGCATCAGCAATTTTGCAATTCCAGGTTTCATATGACAGCATGGGAATAATTTCAAGTTCATAACCACTACAAATATTATGTTTCTTGACATTATCCACTGTCCTGTTTCTATTTAAAATAGTCTCCAAAATGCGTTTTAAATAAAAACAAGACCATGGATAAGGTCCAGAAACATAACATTTGTATTAATGTACCATCATCACAAACTTTTAGATCTTATTTCCATAACCATTACAGTTGTGACATGCTGTTTTTAAAGAAATACTCTACATCAATGAAGAAGGTGTAAATTAACATTTTTGCAACATCGGAAGTTAATACACTAGTAAACAATTGAGGGTAATAAGTATTGTATAACAATTTGAAGATAGTAAGAAGAGATGGAGAGAACATGCAATCAGAATGACACCTTTTAAGCATCTATGGCAAGCTCAATAAATGCTCAATCAATGGAAAAGGCAGAGGGTTCAACAATCTGGCCTCAGAATGGGCTAGTGGCCAAAGTCATGACAGGAAGAGGATAAAACTAACTGATCTTATAAATAACCACGAGTCTGTTATCAAAGTTCAACAGAAATTACTTTATAGTGTGTAACATATCAGTTAATATGTCAAGTTCTTGGAATGGGTTCTGCAATTCATGCAACGTTTGTTCCCCCCCCCCCACTGTATGTTCAGAGTGAGATAATTACTCGAAGCAATGACAGCTAAAACGAACATGGCTCTGTAAACTATGAAGAGTATTTGGATTCTACATTAGAAATATAAATCTGGACAACTCAGATCTAATTTAACAGAGATTGTACATTCTGATACCATCAGACAATATTCAATTGATTTAGCAAATTATTTCTAGAATGTTCAAAGCATTGTAAATCTGAAGGCAATTTATCATTCAGTCCTGTGTTTAAATGAACCAAAAAACCAACATACCAGTAATAAGCCTCCCTTCCCTTCAAAGGAGCAGTCAGTGACCATCATGAACGGAGCCAGATTGGGAAAATAAAGTGTATGCGAATCAATCCTGTCAGTAAACAAGCATTAACATTTTCAATCTGTTACATTCTTTACTGTATACATATTCAGGGAGGCTTATCAAGATGTCAGCGATTACATCAGTGAGTACCTACTTTTCACTTTTGACAAATGTCAGTTATGTCAGTTAGCCACACTATGGCCCTGGAGTTGACTCGGCCTCGTAACAGAAATGAGTACCAGGAATCTTCCTGGGGAGTAAAGAGCAGCTGGCACATGAGGCTTACAACCTTACTGACTTCCATGAGCCAACTGTCCAGAAAATTTGGAAGCCTCAATGTCTCACAACCCTATAGACTTTCACAGCCTGTTACAAGGATAGCTTTACCTTTTTTCTAACCTTAACCCTTCATGGTCCAAGATCTGCAGTGACAATATTCGAATCCTTTAAACTGCTAAACCTATCAGATTCAGCTAAAGTTTATAAAAGAATTATGGTGCACTGAACTTCTGTTCTTTTTCAGATAACCAGTATAGAATATGAGAAACAACGGGTTTTGGTTGGACATATTACCGTTTTGTTAGATGAAGGAAAACAGCCTACCAAATACTGCTCATTAGAAAGAGCAGTACTTCTTAGATAACTAATCTGCATGCCAGCCAATATTAAGAACTTCAAGACAATTCCTCGAGGATTAACTAACAGCCTTATTAATTTGGTTTGGAAAATTTAATAACCATAAAAGGTTGAACATTTTTTTAATGCAGAATGATGTTTGAAGTTTCCTACATCACAACTCACTCACTCACCTAAAAATACATTTAAAATATGGAGGTCCCACAATATAGAAAATGTACACTTGTGCAATTCACTCTAAATCTTATATGTATCACAAAACTGCAAACTCTAGAACTTCACAGTTGTCTTCACTGTCACACCAACACAGCAATTCACATCCCTTTGTAATAAGTGATTTTCCGTACATTCATTTTGTCATATGAATCCAAATTAATATGGACGAGGAGGTCCTGAAAGGCAAAGAAAAACAATCAGTATGTCAACATATGGGTTTACAGTGAAATTCATCCTACGTGAAGCACTGCTTGAAGTTGGTGATTTTTACAAAATATTATTATCATGTAATAATTTGCAGGAGAAAGACTGCTATAGTGATATTTCAGATTATTCAGCAATTGCAACAGTAAATTTCAAATTGAAATTTTTACTGTTCAGATCAATGCCTGTAGTTTTATGGTTCAACAGTAGAGATAATAAAGGTTTAAGATTATGCAAAGGAACACTAAATGGGGATTCCAGTATTTTCTGTGTCAAATCATATTTATGGCAGCAAGCTTCCTATATGTACCTCCTCTCATCATACCAGGTGGTGGTCCTCTCATCCCTGGTGGGCCCATTGGACCTCCTCGACCCATCGGCATACCGGGTGGCATACCTATCACAAACAAAAACAAACTCTGTTGCTATACTGACTATACTGATTGAGTGACCTCTGCCTGTCAGCATCACAAGTTAATGTAACAGTTCCAAATTACATTCATAAAGGAGTTTGGCGCAGATTACAGTTGCAGAATCCTTGCTACAGTCATAAGACTTGTACTGTGAGAAACATTTACACAATGTGACACAGTACAAATGTTGAACTACACTCTCAACATAATTTTACACCTGTTATAAAACAATGGGTAAAACTTCTGTTTTGAGTATTTTAGCATACAAGCTTTAGACAGGCAATGAAAGGATAAGAGAGGAACTAAGAAGAGGACTGAGAAGCGGAAAATTTGTGGCATGTATGAGGGAGACTAAACATGTATACAAAATTTAAGTCAGGGAAACCTGATGCAAATAAATCACTTGGGAGATGTTGACTTAAACCAGAGGATAATATGAAAATGGATTTTACAGAAACAGCAAACTGTGAGTTTTGTTTCGTTTCGCCTTGTGGATCACATTCAGTTAACTATCAATCAGCAATATAAAAAATAAAACAGACAATTAATACAAAACTAAAAAAAAACTTCTCAATGATATTTTCTACTATTTTGAATTGTTTCATTTTGGTCCGTTACACTATTATACATAAAATCAATACAAAGTCCGTCAAGTGTAACAATGTTTTTTAGGTCACTTCTTTCTCACTCTTGCCTTACATGTTTCGGTTTTAGTAAAACCATCTTCAGAGGCACATGGTACTAACAAGAAAACACTGGCGTTGTTTAACTGTACACAGTATATATGCTGTGTGGGCACTGCTACAAATGTCGATGTGTAAAAGCACAACACTAGCTTGGAGTACTGAATGCACGTACAGAATGCACGTTCAACCTTCGCATTCCATCCGAAGTTGCCCTCGCGTTAAAACATCACTATTAAAATATTTAAAAAATATTTAAAAGTTTAAGACTTTTGAAGTAAAATATAAAAATGTTAGGCTGTTGTGTACACAACACACAACGCACAGGAATAATCCAACTACAAGCCAATACAACCTCAAGACATCTCCCAACATCGGGATAAATTAAGAAGCAGCCTAACATTTTTATATTTTACTTCAAAAGTCTTAAACTTTTAAATATTTTTTAAATATTTTAATAGTGATGTTTTAACGCGAGGGCAACTTCGGATGGAATGCGAAGGTTGAACGTGCATTCTGTACGTGCATTCAGTACTCCAAGCTAGTGTTGTGCTTTTACACATCGACATTTGTAGCAGTGCCCACACAGCATATATACTGTGTACAGTTAAACAACGCCAGTGTTTTCTTGTTAGTACCATGTGCCTCTGAAGATGGTTTTACTAAAACCGAAACATGTAAGGCAAGAGTGAGAAAGAAGTGACCTAAAAAACATTGTTACACTTGACGGACTTTGTATTGATTTTAGATATTTTCTACATTTATCCTACCATTCATTTGCACTTCATTCTTCACAACTCATTATTCAGTTTTTAATGTACTGACATAAATTTCTTGTACAAAGGAAACATTGTTAGCACCACAGGCAGACTGGCTACTTATTTGGCCCTTACCCCTTGTCAGTCATATAAGAGATAAGGGGGAAGTTGTACTAGTTAGCTCAGTTCTCTTTCTTTATAACCAATGATGTACACTACTCTCCAGAGAATATTCACTGTTGAAACATACATACAAAAGAGAACTCATGCATTGCAGGGAAAGATTCATCTGCAAATACCATGATTCACACACACCTACAAAATTTTGTGTGTTCAAACTTATTATTAAGAAGTGGCAGAATAGAGGACTAGTGCTTGATAAAACATGACAGTGCAAGAAAGCAGAGCTCACGGATGACAAGTTTGAAGACATTCAGGCATTGTTACAGATTAGCCCTCAGAAATCTCTAAAACAACTGTCACAAGAGACAGGTACGTCTGCAAGCTCTGCTTCTAAAGGAACTAAATTAACAAGGTATTGTAGGTTTGAAGGTCTTACAGTGGTGGTTATGAAGAGTTTTATCTTCTGGGGTATAACTCTTAATAAAGTTTTGACCATTCAGATTTAGGGTCGAGCATGAGCTTAAACGTGCTGATGCTCCCCAAAGCATTGAGTTTTGTAACTGGATGCTGAAAATGTGCACAATGGACTCACAGATCCCCAGCCGCTGTTTATAACCAACGAAGCATACTTTCACTTAACCACTTATGCAAATTCTCAGCAGACTTGAATATGGAGTGACGGAAATCTCCACACAGTTCACAAAATTCCGCTACATGACATAAAGATTGAAGTCTGGTGTGCTGGGAAAATTAGGTTCAACTTGGACCAACACATTAGAATTATAATGGAACCATTTTTTGAAAAGATGACTGACAATGAAAGACAGTATGGCTACTTTCAACAAGATAATGCTACTGTGCACACTGCATGAAATTGAATGAGTCTACTACAAAAGGTGTTTAGTGATATGATCATTAGTACAGGAATGTGGCCTCCAAGACTGCCATATCTTAGTGTTTGTGACTTTTATTTGTGGGGTAACCTAAAGGTGTACAGGAACACACTTTGCACTGCTGAAGCTCTTGAAAATAAGAAATACTGTTGTTTCAATCTCGGCTGACTAACTTCAGCGTGTTTTGCAAGGATTCCTTCAAAGATGAGAGGTGTTCTTGAGGGCTGCTAGTATTTCCTGTATCTGGTGAGTTCTCTTCTCATTTTACTTTTCAGTGCCACTTGAACAGATGGTTTCAAGCCTCAGAATGAGAGCAGATATTTTAGTAGTGGTTCTGAACACAACTTTGTGCTTACCTCTTCTGGAACTGACTGATTAGATCTACCAGAAGGTATGAGGGGTAAAGCCATATAAGTAGCTGGACCACCTGTAGTGTTACAATGTTTCCTCTTATTCTGAGCACTATGTAGCTCTCTACTTATTTTCTTTCCATGGTTATCTCAGCATTACTTCATTTTGCAAATGCAAGTCACATTTAAATGTATCAGCAAAGACAGGTGAAGGTATGGGATTAACCTTTAACGTACGGACTTTTAAATTGCCGGGAGCCCTCTGCGGCCGGTATTTAAATCACCCTGATTAATTAAATTTGCAAACCATCAGAAGAAAAATCCATATTTTCCATTCTATGCAACACAGAAATAAAAACTAAAAACAACCTGAAAGACAATAAATTTTTCTACATGTACACAGAAGAGCAATTTTTACAAATGAAAATTAACTGTGATTATTTTGTCATGAATTGCAAAATATAATCTTTATTATATATGTCATGTAATTCCCAAGGGCTTACCCATTATTTATTCTTCAGCCTTGAATCATGGTGATATTGTAAATATAATCACACTATATACTCGTACAATAATATTTTGTTCAGACTGTACGCGAGTTTGAACTGCGTCACTTCACGGTTTACAATAACTCACACTCGATGCGCATGTACTACTTGTTGAAGCAGTCCAACATTCTCGAAGCAGCCAAACCCACACAGCGCAACGTGACACTTTACGTGCTTCTGCGCTTCTTATTCTGAGAACAAATATGTCTTAGTTTCCCTTTGGTTGCCCAGTGTTGTGAATGTTTCACCTCCAGTCGACTCAGTTGGGCCCCCTGATAAATTTGGCCCTCCCCCGAGAAACGCCACTGACCGTGATATTCGGGTTGTGCGATTGAAGAATC